AAACTTTGCGATAGATCTATCGTATATGACGCATATGTCAACTTGGCATCACGCCTTTCTAGATAATTTGATTTATTAAAACGTTTTAAAACTATTACATATAACTATCGATCTGCATGATAAAATATAAAATGCATATTTAGAAACACTCGTAGTTAGAATAGTTTCGTATTTACCAATATTAAGCACATTTCCAAGCCTCAAGCTGCCTTTTTTCAAAAAGAGGTAACGCTGATCTTGACAAATAATTTGATGACACTTTCTCCCTTTTACCGCAGATCTACTCATTTTGGTGTAGGAACATCACCGATAAAGCTGCTCTGCGTTTTTGTGCTTGTTTTGGAAGATTCTAAAGAATGGCCATCGGGATATGTAAGTACTAAACATATTTCAACAATATGGATATGATTTGTATTTGAAATGGATCTGTATTTGACCGATAGCCGGTGACCAGATCATATGGAAATGTTATGTTTTCTTAGCTAGAGCAATGTCTAACTCACCTATCTTATGCTGGTACAGATTATTCACAAACTCATGTCGGTACATATTAACAGTTAGATAATTGAACAGGTCGAAGTTGCTTACATTGATCTTCATCACCACAAAATAGTCAAATATAACTTTGAGAACAGGTCGACATTGCTTGAATAGATCGACAGCAAATGCTTTCTAACGTTACTATCTGTTTGTTGATCGCTATAGAGAGGTGATATTAAAATAAAAGGGCTATTATATAGTCACACTGTTCGCATAAGTAGGTAACCAGTATAGGGAGTTGTCGTAATAGTAAAAAGTTGTCATATAATCACAATATTCGGATATGTAAGATGGTCGGTATAGAGGGATTACATTAAAGGAAGGGGTTGATATATGATAACAATGTTGGGTTACGTTAGGTCTCGATATAGAGATGTAGCACTATAGGAAACAGTTATCATATAATCACAATATTCGGATATGTAAGATGGTCGGTATAGAGGGATTACATTCAATGAAAGGGTTGATATATGATAACAATGTTGGGTTACGCGAGGTCTCGATATAGAGATGTAGCACTATAGGAAACAGTTGTCATATATTCACAATGTTCGGATATGTAGAATGGTCGGTATAGAGGGATTACATTAAAGGAAGGGGTTGATATATGATAACAATGTTGGGCTACGTGAAGTGTCGTTATAGAGATGTAGCACTATAGTACACAGTTGTCATATAATAATAATGTTCTTATTAGTTGATGGTCGGCATAGAGCGGTTACATTATCATGCAAGGTCGTGATAAAATCACATTTTTTTGTATTAGTAGGTGGTCAGTATATGGAGTTTAATCAAAATAATCTGATAAGTTGATTTTCGTTATAGAGATTTTAAGGCATAGTAAACATTTGTTATATAATCACACTGTTCATATTAGTTGATTGTCGTTATACATAGATTACGCTATAGTGAATGGTTGATATATAATCACCATGTTCTGATTAGTTGATGGTCGGTTTGACGTGGTTACACTACAGTTGTGATACATATCTACAATGTTTAAGCTAGTAAGGTGGTCGGCATAGAGAGATTACACTGGAGAAAAAGGGTGGTGATAAAATTACAATGTAAGGATTCGTAAGATGGTAAATATAGTATATAGTTGTCACATAATCACATGTTCTGATCAGTTGGGATCATTATAGGGAGTGTACGCTATAGTAAATAGCGTACATTTACTATAATAGTAATTAAATGTCGACCTGTTCTCAAAGTTATATTTGACTATTTTGTGGTGATTATTAAAATGTTCGAATAAGTTGATCGTCGGTATGGAGAGTTTACAGCAAAGCAAATGGTTTTAATTTCATCACATGTTCTGATCAGTTGATGATCGTTAGAGAGTTTACACTATCGCCAACAGTTGCAATATGATCACAATAATTGGATCAGTTGAGGGTTGTTGTATAGAGGTTAAGTTATAGTTGATAGTTGTCATATAATCAAAATGTTCTGATTAGTTGATGGTCGGAATAGAGAGGTTACTCTTTAGTAAACAGTTGATATGTAATCTAACATGTTCTGATTAGTTGGTGGCCGTTATGGCGTGGTTGCTCGCGTTAATGTTGTCATATATATTTACAATATTTAGGCCAGTAAGGTAGTCGGCATAGCGATATTACACTTAAGGAAACGGTTATGATATCATTACACTGTTAGGATTCGTTAAGTGGTCACATTATATAAATAGTTGTCAAATAATCACTATTTTCTGATCAGTTAATGATCGTTATAGGGAGTTTACGTTTCAATAAATAGATATCATACAATCACAAAGTTCTGATTAGTTGATGATCGTTATAGGGAGGTTACACGGAAGTAATTGATTGTTATATAATCACAATGGTCTGATAACTTGAGGGTCGGTATAGAGAGGTTTATCTATAGTAAATAGTTATCATATGATCACAATGTTCTGATTAGTTGGTGGTCGTTACCGAGAGGTTACACGAAAATAAATGGTTATTATATAATCACATGTTCTGATAAGTTGAAGGTTGTTATAGAGTTTTTGCTGTAATAAAGATTTGCTATATAATCACGATGTTCAGAAAAGCTGAATGTCGGTATAGAGGGGTTACACGAAAGTTAATAGTTGTCATATAATCACAGAGTTCTGGTCAATTGATGGTCGTTATAGATAGTTTGTGCTATAGTAAATAGTTGTCATATAATCACAACTTTCGGATTAATTGATAGTCGTTGTGGTGAGGTCACGCTATAGTAAATATTTGGCTTATAATCACAATGTTCTGCTCAGTTGATGGTCGGTATAGAAAGTTTGTGCTATAGTAAATAGTGGTTACCTAACTGTTTGTTGGTTGCTTAACGTCAACGCGTTTCGCCGCCTACTTAAAATACGTGATGGTATTGTGATAATTAGTGGGGTATCGATATCCCAAATAATCGCTATAATAGATGTCATGCATTAGATAACAATGCATATATGTTTTCATGTAAAACGAGAGGTGCGACAGGGAACTATTTCGTTAAGGCACTATTTAGATCTCGGGGACCCGGGAATCATCGTTTGGTACATAGGACCTATCCGGATGTGCAAAGAGGAATAATTGACATTGTAAGGGTGTATATCAAGTTTCTGTTAGAACGATAATGAGATGTAGATCTGTTTATATTAGTTTATTAATTACTCTTGATATAACACGCCTATAATCGTTCTACTCTGTTTTACAGATGTCAATATCGTGGGTAACTTCCGTGGTCATTACAGGGAGTTTATCATCGCACGCCTCAGGGGAGAAGTTGACGACCCCCGCCCTGGGGCATTATCTAGGCTCCAATGGTGGCAGCTCTTTAAAAATAATCCCGAAATGTTTAAACAACTTTTTAAAGGAATTCCAATACAGGAAGGAATGGAAATTCCATTATAATCAACGAGAGAACAATCGTATTGGAAACAAGTTAAAATGCCTTTTAGAAATCAAACCAGTACACGTAATACTCATTTCACTTAAAAAGCCGGAGAGAGAAGAAATGAAGAAGAATGTGGTTAGCACAAAAAGGACAGTGAGCGGGTAATATGGTGGCTCTCACTATCAAGTTAATTGTCGGACAATGTCAACATTGACAATAGATGTAGATAAACCTTGCGGAACACAACTGTGTGAAATACTAGTGAATATGGACGTCCTGTTTATTACTGTGTTTTTTTTATAATATCATATATTTTTTTATACACTTTTTAAGATCTGGGCAACATTCTAGTTGATAGACACTGTGCTTTGATAGCTGAGCTTGGGGAAAATGAAGATACATATAATAAATAGATACATATACAAATATCATGAGTTGATGATAACAGAACACAGAGATGACTACAGCATTTATCAATTGTAACAACACGTATTTGTTGGTAATGCAGTGTATAAGTTGTATGTGTTTGTATAACGGTGGATCAGAGGAACAAGTTGTTATGTTAGTTATGTTGATTTAAAAGTAATCCTTTATAAACTTATATCACAGAATGTACAGCTCTAGACTTATATCAAACAACAGCAAGAAATAATTTAATTTAGTTGGTGAATCTGTACAATCATATTCTTATCGACTGACTGCAGATCATTCCGATAATTCTATAATATTCCAGATGCAAATATTTGTACAATGTCATTTTGTAAGTAAATATGTAGATCGTCATTTACTGCGTTTGTCATTGATAGGTACGGACCAAAATGTCAGACTTATTTGATATTTATTAAATATCACGTGATCCCATTTGTCTGTAACTTTCCTGTACAATCATCTTCGTGTTGTTTAGGTGAAAACTGTAGTTTTACATAAAAAATATACAATCATCTTTTATAGGAGACGAAAATCAGAAAGTACGTACACTACACGAAGCTATCGCAATTATGAGTTATATCCCGTTGAAAGATCCGCTTGTGAACAGTTTTCATATGCCTAAACGAATCGTTTCTGTCAAGCAATGTCACAGATTCAAGGTTGTTTTTGACCTTATAACCAAAAAAATGAACACTGTTTCCTTATTTTTGTTCTCGATATCTATAAAGAAAATAATTTTCAAAAATAATCAGTACAAGAGGAAACGGTTATATAAATCCGCACACTCTTGAATATTTTTGCATGTACACATTTTTCTTACACGATTGTACGAGATGTCACGATCTTATATTCGCATGTGTATATGGGGTGTCGGCCGCTATCGGCAATCCTACTTAGATAACAATGAAGGACGCTATTTCTGTGAATATGTCTATATATTGAGGTGACAAATAATTTTGACTTTCGGTTATTATGTCGTTCAAATAATCACGTATTCACCTCATGAACAGTCCATAATTGATAAATATATACAGCGACTTGATCAATCATTATGACGACCGATCGCCGACTGCTTATTTCACCACTGTATTTAGACAAGTTAAAAATCGCACACTTTTGGGTCCAGAAAGAGGAGCAGTATTCTTTAACGGCAATTTAACATACTGCGCAGTTACATGTCATGTGATCACGGAACTAACTTACGACCGGGTACGTTTGTGTAGCAAATGGCGCATAAACTGTCATTGTTCACGTAGCTAAGTGGATCTCTGGGCCCAGTTGTTATAACGTATACACGTACGGTTGTGATATAAGAACATTCGCACGTAACAACGCCGTGGACATCTATAGACGGAACCTTCCACGTCTAGCTGGTCGGTGACTCCCATTTTGTCCCATTATCCAGACACGTAAGTATGTGCTGTACGTTATATATGGTCGGCTGTGTTGTTAAGCGGGCTGAGGTATATTGTTCTAAATATAGATAATCTTCCATGTTGCTTAACGTGTGTATACACAGCACACTTTACTACGATGTTATGCGTATGTATACAGGCGTGCATGAACGCAATATATACACTGACACTAAATTCAATAACTGTCAAAGCCCGGTAGCGAAACATTTTAATTCGAGACGTTAAATGTTTTGTCGCTAATTTGTTGATTGAATGGTCTTCCAACCTACAGGATTATGACAACAATGGACTAAAACACATAATTAAATGTAGTAAGTGTAATTAAGGGGCCCATGCACTAACAGTATGTTTGGCAAATTTTGATGTCACCTTTTTGGCTCCTAGCAACAGCTGTATGATGAAGTGTAATTTACTGTTGGGATACTGTTTATATTACTAAAGTTAAAGGGACATGTCCGTCTACCCTAGTCTATTCATTAAGGTCCATTGGATATGTCTTTTATGGACTTTTGTTGAAGGTGATTATGTGGTTATATGAACCTTATAAAGTTATATGAACCGTTTCATCGTTTTATATGACCATGTTTATCCATACAATCATTGAGATAAAAGTCCTGATATATATATATATATATATATATATATATATATATATATANTCCTTTATTAGATACTAAATAATGTTTAAATCATTAAGCAAGATGGAACATATGAAAATTGTTAAGAGGAATATTCTGCATATTACGCACAGAATACACAGCTTGAAATGTTATCTCTGTATGGATCAGAAGTTATTTTGCCTACGATGCAAGCCTATTTACAGAACTGTGACCGATATATTTAAACCAGACAAACATGTATTGTGTAACATACCATGCGCTTGTTCAGGTAGAAAATCAATGTACAAAATTATTTAGCCGTCGTGTTTTAATGTTTAAACTAACGACACGTCACTCTCTTTATTATTGAAACTCAAAGATAGAACCTAACTTAAGAAAGAGATTCTATACCAGAAAATTACTTTAAAGTCAATATGGCTATTTTTTAATTAACGGATGTTTAAGATAGTGTAAACGAAATACGTTATAATATGTGTGTTATATACAGCAGCAGGTTCGTTTGTGTACTTGTAAGGGGGATTTCTGCATGTTATTTAAAAAAAATATGTATGTATTTTGATGATCGAAATGATCGTTTTTACATGTTTTTGCTGCTTTTTAGGTCTTTGAACAACATGAAAAGAGCTGCGATGACCCAAGTGAAAGGTAAGAACTCATTTTAGTTATTTTAAGAATAACTGCATGCTATTCTTGTTAATTTCAATACCGAAAATACCCCATTTTTGTGAAATATGATATATATATATACAGTCAAACATTCCAATTTAATACAAATACCTTTCGAGATACAATTCGAATTCGATTTTTTTCATAGATTTCACTGTTCTCTTTTCGAGTAGTATTCTCACGAATATGTCACGGAAAAATAGTCACGAAAATAAGGTTCGCCATATCTAGATGATATGCAGTATATTTGTTTACTTCAATTTTTTCAAATACGGATTTTTCTATTTTTATTATTACCATTTTTACTTTATTTTTGGTAATACTTATAATTTAAAACATGAAGCCGTTAACTATTGATATCCTTACAAAAACAGTGCATACTCTGTATTTTACAATGCATTGCCAACAAGAAATATAACAAATATTTTCTAACATTCTCATTTACCTATTTGCTTTCAAGATAATAATAAGCAGATATATTTGTCTATGAAAACAAAACTTAGTGTGTAAATCAACGCATATCAATGCTGTGCTCTTCAAAAGCTCGAAAATAAGATATAATTACTGTTAGTGATAATAAAAACTGATCATTTTTGTGAACACCAACCTGGCTGATCTCAAACCGGATAATATGTGACATTGTTTAAGAGCTTTTACTGATAAATATCTTTATAAAAGATAAATCCCAGCTACTTGAAATACACTGAGAAATTTGATATTTGAACAGTCGGAACATGATAGTAATATTTAGATGTTTATTAAATGTGAAAGGAACTTTAGAAAAAAATGTTCAATAAAAATGATTGCGAGTAGAGTAATAACATACTATCATTTAATCTATTATCAATCTGGTATATTATAAACATCGTAGCACCTTTTATTTTGAAATATACAGGAAATGTGATACTAGGAGGGGCTTCCTCATAGAACACCTTTTGATAAATTTCTCTATAAACTATTCATGAACCTGAGCTGGCAATCCTTACTACTTATGACACTCGAATATCTGTTAAATACAATTTTGTTGTTTACATAATTATACGGGGGCAACAAATCGAAATGTAAAGCATTAACTCAATATTGACGTATTAGATAATTAAATCTTTATTTTATTGACAACTTTAAAAGGTCAATAGCAGCACTATTAAAATGTAAAGTTGTAAAGGTTTTTATAATGTATATTTCTTTAACAACAAAGTATTATTATAAAGATTGAATGTTTTTTTAAAGAAATTTACTAATGAAAAAGGTGCAGTGATTGAGAATCCTCCAGCGTTTGGGACATTGACATTTCCGTCATGGGTAGTAGGGCAGGTGTGGAACCACGGACTCCTCAACCCCGGCAATCTCCAACAACTTGTAGACATATCTGATGTATATTCATGTGTCTATTTATACAGTATTGCATATTGAGGAAATAATATACATGAAAAAACGTCCTGTCGTTTCCTGCATAAATACAATACAATGACAGACTGAAAAACGCCGTAGTGCATAATCGCTGATATGTGATCCTTAGAATCTTAATCAATAATTTCCTCATTTTCAGAGGTGACGATTCTTCTTGAAGACTATGGGTAAGATACAGTTTTATTTAGTTACTTTAACAACATTTAAATAAAAGTGAACGCAAATAAGTATTAATTGTATATTTTCATTTGTTCAATTCCCATTTAATGAAAAATAATTATCATCGGTTTTAGGTTATAGATAATATTTGTAAAATAAAATAAAGATACATAATATAAATAAAAACAAAATCTAAAATGCTTATTTTATATTATCGATTTTCCTCCGACAGCTTCTAACATCCAGTTTATTTTTTTAACAATTAATGCTGTGATAATCAGAATTTGTCCACCTACATTAAATCTGTACAATCAACATAACCTGACTTCTTGTAAACACCTCATATGTTTTGTATTTCTTATAACAACAATGATACATTGCGGCGTTAGGCGTGAATGGGGCTCACCTAGATTAACGATTGAAAGGAAATGTTTCTCCCTACCCGACTGCGAATATTAATGTGATCTTTCGTATACTGTAGCACCCGCAAATTGTATAGATCAATACAGTATCGTCTTCAACCCTATAATTATGGAAAATAATGTGATACCATCTACGTATTGTTAACAATGGACGACCTGTACATGACAAATCAATGTTGTGGTTCATGTACAAAACTGAGTAACAACAAATAGGAATAAATTTTTCTATTTTGTGATATACCCGATAATGATAATTAAGTATATCTAATATATATTTAATGATATATATAATAATTGATATATTTCTGCCGCTTCTGCCCGTTCCTGCTCGTTCCTGTAAATCGTCTGACCGGCATATCACCATTTGCAAGCACCTTTATACATGACTGCTAGCAGCAAGGTTGATTAAAAATTACAAGTGTACATAATTTTTGCGCAATGTATCGTCTCAGCAATAAGGTGATGAACACTCTAGTTTTATCTGCAACTCTTTTTATTTCCAGACACCGGCATTCATTGGCCAAGAAGAATAAGAGCCTTCCAGAAAACACTATCAAAATGATTGAGAAGATTTCTCTGGGTTTAGCTGGTGAGTTGAATTTTCCGTTACAACAAGATATTCGGGCAAAATAAACGATACTATTTAAATTGAAAAAGAAAACCCCCACGGAATGATAACTTTATACTTTGTTTCATAAACCAACTACATGTAAAAGAAACAGTGATTAAGATATTGACATCGATTGGGAATACTTAGAAAAATAATTGTTACCTATTGTATTGCTTGCGAGCTTTACGACTCTGTTGATTTTGGAGTTTCTGAGTCATCAATTTTAAACAATTTAAATTATTTGAACAAACGGTTGTTATATGGAATTAAAATTATCACTAACTTGTTCCTTTTTGTTTGTACAGTGAACACCGAAGAAGAAAAAAAACTTGACAGGAGACAGTTAAACATATCGTTCAGTGTCACGAATTCTTTTGACACGAAAAGACAGCAGTCACTTGACGATATTCGACAGATTCTTGAAAACGCAACACAGTCCAAAGACAGGTTCATGGAAATCAAGTTTGTGATAAGTAAGTTCTTAAAAATAGAAATATAATGTAGCAATAGTAATTATACAGTATATAATCGTCATTTAGGTCAAAAGTATCGATAACAAGTAAATGTTCTAACCGTTTTACATGTTCTTAAAATAAGTTTGGTTATTATATAGTTACACAAGGCATTTAAAAAGTCCACCTTATTTAATATTCATTATGTGATATATAAATAGTCAAATGTGCTCTGCAAACAAATCTATTAAGAGGCCACTGTGTCAAAGTTGTTCATTGTAGTAATGTCATTGTAAACTTAACCTGTATTTAGAGGCTACCTGTACTAAGAAGCTATGTTTAATGTTCCCCATCAAGTGTAGCACCACGTCTAATGTTCCCAATTGAAGTTATTTAATTGTAACTGTACTTATGTTACATGTTTACATGTCTTAAGAGACCACGTTAAATGTTCCCCGTTGAAGTTATTAAAATGTTAACTGGACTTTTTTATGAAAGTACATGTACCGCTATTAAGGGACCACGTTTAATGTTCCCCGTTGAAGTTATTCAATTGTAACTGTACTTGTGTTTCACGATTACATGTACTTGTCTGAATAGACCACGTTATATGTTCCCCGTTGAAGTTATTTTATTGTAAACTGGATTTTTGTTACGGGAGTACATGTACCTGTATCAAGGGACCACGTCTAATGTTCCCCATTAGCGTTATTTAGTTGTAAACCGTTTTCGTGTTTCTTGATAGCATGTACCAGTACTTAGAAACCACGTTTAATGTTGTCCGATGTCGTGATTTCTTTATAAAGTAAACATGTATTACAAATGAGACAACTTTAAATGAACCCCAATGTAAAAGTTGCATCGTGAAATAATCTTGCGTTACGAAAGCACCTGTGTTAGTAGCCCCCCCCCCCTCCTTGTGTATTTACTTCGCAAGGGTGGTCTCCAAATACAACAAGTTGATTGTGCATGTATTTACACTTGCTTTGCATCCTTCCATTGCAATACATTAAGAAGGCCAATGTTGTTGTGAGACTATAACATTTGCTATTGTAACGTCATCAATCGCTCTTTTGACGTCATACATTTTCATTGTTGTTGTGACTTAATTTGCTGTTCAAAGAAATGTTCGCAATAACTATATAACTCATAACTACTCTAACAAAATGTAGATATAAATAATGACTATTTGAGGCGGTCTTTAGTAAGTTTGTCATCAATATCCATGTGTGTTAAACTAACGCAAGCAGTCATTTTTTTTGTAGTGTGTATCATCGTTTCCATTGACATCAAACCCCCTAGTACGGCGTTCGAGCCTACTGCCCTGTGTTTGGCGGAGCGAGTAAGAGCATTCCTGTTGCGCGACAAGATCACTCTTTCCGACGAGACGGAAACACGTCTGCATGTAAACAGGGACTCCATTTCCATCACCCTCAAAGACCATCCAGACGATGGTGAGTCTCGTAAAATCTCGTTTTACTATCAAAGACCACATATATGGTGATGAACGAAATATACCACACCCTCCCTCAAAGGTCATTCGGACGAAGGTAAGTCTCGTAAAATCTCGTTTTACTCTCGAGTAAAAATGATAAAGCAAAATATACTCTCCCTCCCTTAAAGGTCACTTTGAAATCTACCTTAGTTCTCCAAGACTGCTAAAAACTTATCGTTGCGATGGTAAGTATCGTGAAATCTCGCCGTATGATAAAGATACACCTATTGAAGTCTAGCTACTGTAACATGTATGGTAAGTCATGTCAAGTATCATTACCTTCGCCAATTTAATCGTTATACTGTAAACTCTTGCTTCCATCCTCCAGTCCCGAAACGGGACACTCAGCAAAGAATTCCATCCGATGACGGGTGAGCCATCTGTTGCCATTACTCTTGCTTCCATCCTTGATTTGCTGATGTCGGTAGGATTCGTGATGCAACGATAACTGACCAGAGTACGATGATTTAGTTAGGTTTGGTTTTATAGATAGTTTATTATGTCCTATCAACAGCTAAGGTCTTGTATAGACGAGCGTTCATGTGCGTAATGAATGCACGTGTGTTATAGGCAGAGTATGTAAAAAATACCACGCAGAAGTCACACAGCATAGCATTTCACCCAATCATGGGTGACCCATGTTTTTGCCATTACCCTAATCGCTAGACGTTAATGGAATAACGCTACCATTTTGAAGGACTTTAGTATGTACCGGTATTTGAACATAATCCATTTCTTTCCACACCTGGGTGAACGTTCAACATTTAAGCCAAAAGTGAGGATGAAGATAAAACACGTGAAAAACATTTCTACACTTGCCAGTTCCACCCCGGTAACTGACTCATGTAAAGATGTCAGTTATAAAACTGTATTAATCATGCATGTGAATTTCAATCTTCACGAATGAGCTGCTGAAATATCAGTAGCGAAAATATATCTCCACAAATAATTAGAGATTTTAAGTAAACGAACTACCTTTGTTTCTTTAATTAGGTTTACCCATTGTTGGTATCGGACAGGCTGCCTTCGCATTCCAGGTTGGGGATATTGTGATTCTCCAAGGCACGGTGATATCTGTTCCGACAGTGACGTCAATCCAATGGTTCAAAATTGAAGACGATGGTACGGAAAGGATGCTTCCTATCGATAACAAGAAGTACCTCGGCGGCAGTCGGGAATCTCCGTCTCTCGTAATCGCAAACTCGAAAAAGGCAGATGAAGGAGTGTACATGCTTGAGGCTACAAATGTGAACGGGACAGCTAGGAGCACCAACTCCCAATTGATTATGTTAAGTAGTAAGTATTTATCTACATTTCAATGCTATTTCTATATAAAGTGCGTTTATAAAACAGAACAATATACAAGATATACAATTGGCTAATTCATAATTTTAGGAAAATAAGTAAAGCGCGAAAAGCTCTGAAAAAGACTTCCACTAAAAAACTGTTGGGAGTATTATTAACCTTAGCGTTATAGCTATAATCTTCGAGTTACCTCCCATAGATTTCCAAAAATCGCTATTACCCGTAAATACATTAAAGTAACCTTCCTTTACATGTGTCATGACATGTGCCGAATTCAATCTGTTAATTATAATAATAATTAACAAAACATAAAGAAATTAATAATGTAACCCCCTTCGCCATCACCACTAAGTTTGATCTGCAATTCTTGAGATAAGGTGAGTTTTTGAGGCACAACAGAGGAAAATATCGTTAACACGATTACATCGATATATGACAAAGTCACTGTGACCTACTTATTCATTGTGTGCTAGTCATTTCGGCAATGTTTATCAAATAATCAGGTTTAGTGTTACGCAATAAATCAAAATTATGAAGAAAACAAATATGTAGTTGTATAAGGAAGAGGTCACTTTCGATTGTGGTCCATCGCTTTACCCCCATCTCTCTCGGAATTGTCTCCGATCTAGCTTAACATTCATGTCATATATGCATGCCATTAGGTATTTAGAAAGAAAGAAAAAACACAATTTATCGATGAAAGCCGACATAACCCCGACATTTGAAGGCTTATCATGTTTTAAATGACAAAAGGGCAAGCATTTTTTTGGCGAACACTATTTCTGTTTACTGTGAAAACATAGAAATAAATATACAACCTGTCAAGTCCACATAGTAATATATTCCATTAATGTTTTTTTTGTTATCCAGCTGGTGAGGAAGTTGAGGCCTCGGATAGCGAGGATGATGGCGACACTGACAGCGCAGACTCTGGCAATACGACCAATGAAAATGCAAATCCTGTCAATACAAACAATAATGATACAAACGATACCGACACAAGCAGCGTCGACTCAGACACAGACGTTGCAAACACGACCACCATCACAAGCAGCACAACCCAGAATGGAAACGCCTCACATAATGAAACACACTTATCGTCTGTTTCAAGAGTCAACCCGACACAGAACGGAGTAACGTCATCCTCAAGAGAAGACGACAGGAACACAATAACAGCTATTGTAAACCAGGCCGCGCACACAATCGGTGAACAGTCGGGGAATCTGGGGACGTCATTGGTCTCTTCCGACGTAGACTCGTCCTTCAGTCGCGTGCGGGCAGAGTATGGGTCTGAAGCAGCCGAGGCGGTCGATACGAGTGATGAGGATCAAGAAGAGATACCGGGGTTGGCTAAGACAAAGGAGGTCGAAGGTCAACCAGGGTCAACAACGAGAGACTCTGATGATTGTTCTCGATAAACTGATGTAAGACGAAAATTCTAATGCAGGATCCAATCACAGTGACGTCACATAAAATACTCATGTTATATTGACGTGGTGTGGGGTATCTAACCATGGTTCTGCTAGTGTGTTTATCACAAATACTGGCAAAGGAATGTGCTAAGAAAGTCCGAGACAGGATCCTGTATGATTACATCAGATGTATGACGTCAGACAAATTGGAATAGTATAACTTTGCTTTGCACTTTTTCTTAGGTTTTTCAGAGCTTACTTCCGTATCCAATATCAACCTAACAAATTGCATTTCTGTGATTGTTTTGGGTGTTTTTATAGCTATACAGCTGGGAGTCGTCATGATTGAGAACTGCGATTGTTTTTTTTTTATAACATATATCTCCGTAAAACTCGTAAAAGGTGAACTTGTATAATACCAATGTGTCTTTTTGAAATATTCCATTGCATCTTAACATGTAATCTCAACTTATTTTTTCGCAGTCCATTATTTGCTTAGATATAGTATAAAGGTCGATCTCGCGGATTTTTTTTTTTTTGGTAAAGTTTTTGTTTAGTAGCACAGACGGAGTAAATTTTTATTAATTCGAAGATTGTATTTTTTTTGCGGAAAAATCGATACCACGAAATCGTGAAAATTAAAATCCTGCGAAAACAACCTTTATAGTATTTGTTTCTTATTTAATATATTTTATATAGCAATTATTCTGTAATTTTTTGTATTGCATAATATAATATCCGTCATTCAATACATTTCAATTCAGTAAAATAATCACTACAGGTTTTTAAATCTTTTCAAAAACCCGTCCTTATATGACCCAGCTTGTTGAGAGGAACAAACACAACTTAAAAAAATGATCTGAAGCCGATTGAGGAGGTCAAACAAATTAAACATTTACCTGCTATAAGGCCAATTCTTCTGTTTTGGGCCTATCATAAGTACAAATGATCAAAAAGATTCAAATCTTAATTGTTCTGGAATGTTCCTATGTACCTCTATTCCGTCTTTGCGTATTGCAGAGTTATTTTCTCTTGTAAGCAGGTTGTGATTGTTTCGTAATTTATTTGTGAGAGTAACATCATCAAATTTTGAGAAAACGACATAATTTTCTCATAGAAACCAATGAAGTAACAATCAATACCTGCTCACAAGAGAAGATAACTCTGCAATACGCAAAGACGGAGATAACAAATGAACAATGTTTTATCTACAGCAGATTATTTATTGTTTTCAATCTCGTATAGAATATAAACTGCTACAGTATAAAACATCCAGTTACAGGGTATGGTTACTATAGAGGAAGGAGGTTACTGTTCGGCACCTTGTGACTTAAAAATATGTTTATCATGTCAATGAAAAAGCGAAAGAAAGTCTACATGCTACACGTTTATACATTTATTCAAGAGGATGTAGGCGATCAATAAATAAAGAGGAATTTGGTTATAGAAATAGATTCTTATACGAGAATTAAACTACGCATTTAAACAGGTAAACGACTTCTACTTCATTGACGGTAATTGCAAAATAATTCCAGTCAAAATGAAGAAAAAAATATATCAGGTCCTCAAAGTAAGATTTTAAGTTATTACAACCAAGCCGCAAGGTACATCAATGACCATATTAAAAAAAACGTTGTTATTGATTTACAAGTGTAAATATATTTTATTATTGTAGTATATATCTGTTTATAGTATGTAGGTGGAAATATAATAGACATGTTTTATACGACATGTTGTAAAGTCAACTACTGCAAGGATACACTTTCGGTTTACCCACTGGACGGCTTCTTCCGGACGAAAAATATTAAGGGCAATGTTTTGCAAGGGGAAGCAACTCTAGTTACGCACACGTGTGCTGCCATTAAAAAGCTTCGTTCTTATAAAAAAGGACATTGAAAAAAAGCAAAAGTAATCAGCTGTCCCCATTACAATACCTGTAATTCTCTGTCTATTCCACGTTGTTTCCCTAGGCACCGTCTTCAATAACCATGGTTATTGCTAGGACGTTAAACTCCAAACAAATACTTTATTTATCGTTTGATAATTTATTTAAGCCATGAACTGATGCAATGTTGAAAAGGGTTCATATGATACCTTTGTTAATAATGTTTTTTTTATGATATGAGATGTATTTAAATGTTATTTGAGTAAGCTGATGATATACGGAGAATATATTCATGTTTTCTATTTAACGTATACTAACATGTAATATAACCTAATATTCCAGATTAGAATATATTTTGATGTCACAATGGATATATAGATATTTAGGCATAATGGCGGAAATTAATAGTTCTGAAGTGACAGTGGAAACGTGTTTTTCGTAATATTCTCAAAACCTCATAATCATATGATAAAAAGAACCTTGAATTATTTCATTTAATTTGAAATTTATCAAAATTACTATTTTACGCAATCATCATAAAGAAGAAATACATAGTGTTTTTTGAAAGAGCTACATGACTAAAATCTGAAACATTAATTTACAACAACACTATAATCTTGTTTAAAAAATATATTGTAAAGTGTTATTGGGAAAAGGACTAATATCAGTTGGGTAACTTGTGCTTAATCCTTTTGTATATTTGATGCAATTAAAAAAGAGTTTAAAACCAAAAATTAAAACATTATTAACTGTTGGAGGGTTTTGTGATTAGTATTCAAATAACGTTAGCAAAATAATAGTCCAAATGTCACTTCCTCATAGTTCTTAAGATCAGTTTTATTTATTTTAAAACAATGTTGAAACATGTTTTTTTTTTTTTTTTTTTTATAATCACTCTTGTTGGCCCGGATGTCAGAGCGCGGGAGGAAACCGGAGTATCCGGAGGATACCCACGTGGTCGGTTGGATGAACTCATACTTTTTCACGTCTAATCGGGAAATCGAATCCAGGTTGTCTTGGTGAAAAGCCAGTGCGGTTTTCACTGTGCCACCCGACCATCATAGTTTTAATAGTTTAACATAGTAGCATTCTAATTTGTTTTGCTAATCACGTTGTATAGTGTATCGGTCAACATGTATAACATGTTTCTTTATAAAAGGTTGTTTGTTTGCTATTATTTACATTTGAAATAAAATATTCAGACCGTTACATTGATTCAGTTCTTTATTTCCCCCCTTAAAATACCATGATTTGACTTGTTCATATGTCAACAATGTAAACATGATAAAGCCATTCCAAAGTCAGGGTCATAGTAATGCTTGCATTGATGACGTAATTGTGTAGTTTTGTTTATATCACTGCGATAAGTGTTGATTTAATATTAATAATATATAAATGATATTCTGACTGATCATGCTTTTTTCCGGAAGTTTAAATATAGAAATCACAATTTGAATCAGGTATAGCAAGTAAGGTCATTACCATTTGAATCCTGGTAAACCAGTTCCAAAAATATTTTTCGGAAAATTTGAAATAATTCCTATTGCACAAGAATCACGCCTTAAATCCTTAATGTACACATTTTTAGATGGTAATTTATACAGTTACAAATAAGGGGTGTACGCCACCCCTTTATTGAAAAAAAGTGAATTGATATTTAGTGGTGCACCCTCACCACTACCTTATTTGTAAAACTTACATGTTTCTTATAAGGTAATAATATGCGTTTTGCTTATAATAATCTCCAAAAACACAGAGAAAGAGAGACCTATTTGAAAAGTGTGTTTATTGATGCAACCCCCCCCCCCCCCCCCCCCCCCACAAATAATGTAACAATTATCCCGCATCGTGAGGGCATTTTTTTTATAAAACAGGAATTTAAATGTAGGTCCATGTTTTAAGTGATCCTATACATTTAAAAGACACCAATACATTCCAAATACAGCGAAAAAGAATTCGAATATCCTTATTTCCACATTAAATTTGTTGATATACATTGAATAACATGTAAATGTCCGAAGGGAGATAACCCTCGTATCCTTATATCACATCCCATTTCATATCAGGTATGGTCATATTATTTAATCTTGCTTGTAAAAAGCATTGTCATTGGCTTAAAAAATTATGTTATCAGCCCATAACGTTAAACAATGACGTCGCCGTTTGAAACGTTGCTTTTGATTGGCTGATACAGCAGCGCAATAATTTCTAAAAGAAAAGAGTCCATCAATAAAAGTGGATTTCCACAGGGATTGTGTAAAATAGATTAAATTAAAAGGATTAACTTAAATTTATTTTTCATGTTTTGGAGCTATAACACAAAAAAACGGAGTGTACTCTAAATAAACCGCGAAGCGGGTTAGGATGAGAGTACACTCCATATCTTTCATAACCTATGTTTGAAGCTGTGATCGTTCTATACTGAAGTGTGTTTGTAATGACAATAAGAAATGAAAAGGTTATTTTAGTATCACATTAGTGGCAGTATATTTAACCCTATTACCACTATATACCATAATGGACTCATCCATATCAATGCATGGTAGAGTCTACTTAAGTTACATAGGGATGAAAGGGTTATTGTCAAGTTAAGAGAGACACTTGATACAGATACGACTTCTACTTTATGTAAGCTTTTGTTTTCTCTCATTTCAGTAACGCAGAATTAAGGAAATTCACATAGGTGTATCGACTGAAACATTTTTTTTTATAAATGTGTGATTGTGGTTAATTGTGGTTCGCTATATATAGGATCTTACATGAGTGTCCATGTCATATTGGATTTATTAAAGAAGTTCAATAATGTCATATGACACGAGCATTTAGGCTTGGACGAGAATCAATGGCCTAATGTTTGGCTAGTTTGATACTCAAATTTTACAAATATAGTTGTGACCGCGACTGCAAAAATGGGGCCAGATGAGGTAAAATCAGAAATTGAGATTTTGATGTTTTCTGAAAGACAACAATATGAGAAACAAGAGGCACATGGGCCTTAACGGTCACCTGAGTTCTGATATACATGTATTTATACAGAGATCTGATTTTTGTTTTTAAAACAGGAACAGAAATATTATTCAAAGTGAAAAAAAAACCCCATCTTATTCAACATCTAGCATACAGATTTAAGACTGAAAAGTATTTGAAACTAGCCTCTCTGATTCTAAACCAGGAAAATTAAGCAATTTTAGCACACTGACTCCTTTAGACCCCGCCCTACAGCCCTTGGCTCAAAATAAATTTTCAAAGTATCGAACTGTCAACTCAGGGTAATAAATATCAAAAGTATCATTTACCAATATAAACCATAATACATTTTGCCACCCCCCTTCCCAAGGGGGAAACGTGAGACCCCAGGGTCATAACATTCACAATTTTGGTAAAACACCTTAAGACCGTTCCAGCTATGAAGAGTATTTGATTCTACCGTATCTGGGTATTGAGAAGAAGATTTTTGAAACTTCAGTCAATTCCATCCTTTTTGGCCCATTCATTAGCCCCTGGGGGTCAGTCAGGGTTGATATGTGCATACAATCAAACTGCTATCCAATACTGATAATCCTAACCCAAATTGAATTACTTCCAACAGAAATTAAACAAATGTTAGTCCATAATGTGTTTTCCCCATATTAACTATAGTAAAGTTTACCCCCTCCCCAGGGGGAAACGTGAGACCCAAGGGTCATAAAATTCACAATTTTGGTAGAGCAGCTCAAGACCATTCAATCTATAAAGAGTATTTGATTCTACCATATATTGATCTTGAGAAGAAGATTTTTGAAATTTTAGTCAATTTGACACTTTTTGGCCAAGGGGGCTGGGGACCATACAATTCACAATTTTGGTTGATCTTTGGCCATGGAAGGTTTCTGCAAAATTTCATTGAAATTGGTTCAGGGGTTTTGGAGAAGAAGTCGGAAATGTAAATTGTTTACGGACGCACGCCGCATGATTGACGACGACGGACAAAAGGCGATTAGAATAGGTCCCTTGAGACTTTGTCTCAGGTGACCTAATAAAACCCCAAATTTGTTGACCAATCTTTAACCATTACGGAGAAAATCAAGATTATGTAACATGCAATTGAACAAAAACGCAAAATCAAATAACGACATTATACACAAGACTTATTTTATTCAACATCAGAGTATTTTTAATACAGGCAAATACCACCGAAGAAGGTTAACCTTAAAGGGAGATAATCATTCGATTCATTTTTTTTTTAAATCACATTTTTGTTTTGCATTGCTTTGATAATTGTCATTCAACTATTATCTTTTAATTATCAAAGTCAGATAGGTGGACTCACTGAAGAATTTAAAATAGAGCTCTAGCAACATTAAGATGAATTCGTCATATAGAATATACAATAAAGGGAGATAATCCACAGTCACATATAATTATTCTGGAAATGCTGATATACTCAGTTTGCAGCATTCACATTTCATTGTAGCAAAATAAGTGAGGTTAATCTTTGATTTGGAACAATTTTTGATAAATGTTTGCCACACCAGCAGGTCAGATACTACTTACGAGTAATGTAAATTATTTCTAATTATAAATTCCAATAATCACACATGATACAACAACACTATTTTTGGAATAGTCATGTCTTTTAACTTAGGTCTCTCAGTATATTAGGGCACATTTTCAAACATAATAAATTACCCAAATAATGCAAGTAAATTTGCAATTTCACATCAACATTGCAGTTACATAAAATCATTGCAAATACCAAAAATGGATCATTAATACATAATAAACAGAATTTCAAACATGTTAAATATAATATTCATGAAACTGAAGACTGTTTCATAAAACTAGTATGTAATTTATTATATCTGTAATTCTAACAATTCTGAAAAAATCAAGAAACACTATAAAATCACCAATTAATTAAATCAATTTAGATAAAGCTTGTACAATGACGCACATTTCAGTAGTTTGATAGTCATAGTAAAGGTTCATCTCAACAGAAGACCTTTTCTCTTACTAGGATGTTTTGGCATCTCGTTAGTTTCACCAACATTGACTTTTGACTTTGGTACAGCTGGTTTTGGACATGAACTGTTCTTTGAGCATTCTGACTTACATAATTCCCTAATGTTATCAAACAAAGACCACTGCCGTGTTTTCAACTGGCATATCATTCACAGAGGGCAGGATGTCTTCGCATTTCAGAAGTATAATGGATACAGTGGGGGAATCACAAGGTTCCTTGCACAAAACTGTCCCTGGTTAAGTAGAATCTTCTATGAAATGATGATAACTCCTAAGGTTCTTTAAAGGCTTAAACTATTGTTTTAAAAACATCTTCCAGAGTCTGAACTTAATGGGTTTGTCATCATCTTGCACCAACTGGGGGATGTTATGTCTATTCCACATCACTTGATCTCCAGCGCAGCTTCCACACACAGAAATGCCAGTCTGGGTCAAACTTTATCATCACGGAATACTGGGTCTTAACATTAAGACCTGAAAGCAAATAAAGAGTTCTTGAGCTTGATAAAACTAATTTATAAAATTATAAAAAACAGCTGATTGATTAGTTAAAATTTATATGATTTGAACGGAGAACTATAATGAGGGCAATAATGTGAGGTCAGATTAATCATTATTTCTAGTCATTGCATAAATTGCAAGACAATAATTCTGATATGCAGTCATACAACTTCCACTCAATTTTGAATGGTCCGGTAAATGTTAGAAACGTTATTGATTAATTAAATGTATGTTACTGTTAACTTTCCAATCTTGTTCGTTAATTATTTTTTAACCATGCTCTTCAAATGCACATACATGTTAAAACTTAGAAGTCGAGTTAAAAATTGACAACTGATCAACTTAATTAGAAAAATTATTGATGACAAACAATCCCCGGACATAATGGCAACAACTAATACTCTCCACAAGGCATACCACAACACAATGTTTTTCTTATTCTGGCCGCTGCAGTTATCAAAAGCGGATGTTTGCAACTTCTTCTCCATGACCATGATGCTGGAAATAGTGATGGACCATGATGACAACTGAGTTAGCTCCCTTGCCTATACCAGAGTTTTCTACCTCATCCACTAAACAGAATAACTGCTTTCCTGTCAATCAAAATAACAAATAATATACAAGCATAAACTAGTATTGAGTATTGATCATATTATTTGAACCCATGAGCTTTAAGTCTTATCCCTTCTTGAACATGCACATGGTTAACACGATCTAATACATTACTACAGTATTGTCAATTATACAATGACATGTACAATCGAGGTCAAGAGGGGTCACAATAATACTTCACAACTCTCAGGATTGTGGTGGCACAAGCGTGCATAGGCGGACAAATATTTCCCGCTATAGAGTGCATATTGTCGACACTTAGTCTACGATGCAAACTGTCACAAGCTCGTACATAATCACGGCTGACAACTGATCACTTTTCGCAATATCACAATATTACATTTCGAGCGTCTATATGTAAATATCATTGTGTATTTCAAGCATATAAAAATGTGGTTTGCCAACATATGACAATAAATATTCATGCTTAAACAGTGCGAGTTATCTTGCGTATGAAATGTGCAAAAAATCATAAATAAAATATTACCTATCAAACCATAAAAAATAAAAATAAAAATAAACAGCAGTTGATAAATAAGCATATCTATCATAAACATGCATCTGTAGCCACATCAAGTCTAAGGTGCTTTATAGTATATAAATAAGCAATTAATATATCAATACATCAATCAATATGATATTTAGAAGAATTCATTGAAGCGTTCCCTAACTACTGGCGAGTGCCTAACTTAGCAACACTTCACTTTAGATTTTAATGCTAAACGTTCGCCCATGTAAGGAAGGCAATGAGTTCTCCTTAAAATTATATCGGTTATCTCCTGCTTACCGTTCGTCATTTAGGGTCATGGCAACTGTTTCACCTGGTGTTAGTATAATGTAGCTGGGTGGAATGCTATGCTGGATGCCTTCGGCATGATATTTCAGTGAGATAACACTTTGAAGTCGGCATCAGATCAGTGCCATCAGAAGGAGGCAAGTAGACCCATATACCCTGTCTCCAGCACACATACACATACATATATTAACGTTTTGTTGTAACGTTCGTGATCCATCTACAATATCGTAAATTGTGTATGTAATCAATTTCAATGATGATAAACGACTACTTAAGATAATAAACCATTGGCATCTTCATTATCTTGTGATTTTTTGATTTGTTTAACTGCTCTATTCTGTGTTTTCTGCGGCAGCAACGGGAAATTCTAAAAAAATCTGTTAATTTTATGGACGGCAGTGGATACCTGTATATATGTAACTTAATCTATTTTACAACAATCATGAAACAAGTTTTTTCATCTCATATTAATCACTCTTGTTGGCCTGGATTTTAGCGCGCAGGGGGGG